CACTGTTCCTGCCCTCATCACCTCCTCCCCGGGGCAGAGCCATGTCTTCCTTTCCTCTGAATGCCCAGTGCCAGCACAGTGCCATAGTACGCATCAGGCCCTTGGGAAGTATCTGCTGAATTGCAACCTCTATTGTGACACTGCACTGCTTAGAAGAGGTGTTTATAACGGTGGTGATCAGGAAGTGCAAGCCACAGAGGCCACATAGCCATTCTACTAGGGAAGAAAGATGGCCCAGAAGCCATGTTGGTGGCTTCATCAGGAAAGGGGTCAACAGAGGGAGGAAAAGAAGACCAGTGGTACCCAAGAAGCAGAACATAGAATACCTAAGATTTTAGAAAGACCTACTCACAGGGGCACTGCACAACACAATCACATGATCATCTCCCAGCTGTGAGTGCAGCTCACCCCACCTGCTCTGGCCCTGCCCCACATCATCCGGAAGATAGCAACTCCCCAGAGGGGTCCCAACAAGCCCTTGGACACGGAGAGAAATAAAAGTCGTATCAGAAGGATTGTGGGAGCCCTGAACTGTTGTAGTGCGTACGCATGTGTCCATCCATGAGCACACAAAGAGGAAACAGTAAGTCAGTTGACACCTGGGCTTGTGGGCCCATCACTGACCTTCTCTTAGTCCTGACATCTCCGTATCTGAACATATAGCTTCTGATCTGAAAATGTTGCTCTTTCTCTCTTCTACATTCTTTCCCATGTGCCATTTATAAAACAATTTCTTTAAAAATGCGTTTTTCTTTCGATACAGCATGAAAACTCATTTCTCACTCACCAGATCTTGGCACAGTACCCTCAAGAGGATTTTTCCAGAAGAAAAGGGGATCAAAGAAGCCAAACAGGCAAATTCCCTGCCATCCTCTCTGCAGGCCTCATTTGCAGCCTTTAAGCTTTAATTTTGAACAGGGCCAAGTCTATTCATGAATAATGAACAATGAAACACCACCGCTGCCAAAGCCTTAATCAGGAAATGAGGCTTCTGAATTGGAACAGAGGAACCATGTCTGTGCTGCCCAGTAGGAGAAAGATCTCCCACTTGGGGCCTCTATTCTCCCAAATGTACAAAAGACCCAGAATGGCCAAGGGCTCGTATTGCCTTTCCTTATTCACAGGACTTAAAAAAATCTAAGAAGCTGTATTAATAACTTTGACTCTTATAATCTTGTCCCATCACTCAACTCACTCAGTAATTCCCAGGGGCTCTCAGTCCCAGCAAAATGAAGTCTAACCTTCTTATCCTGACTTCCAACATCCCCCGTGCCTCTCAAACCAGCTTGTCCTCTAGTTCCATGGCAGCAGAATCCATTCCTATCCACCCATTCTCCCACACTGACTGGGGCCATGCCACTAGATAGAAGACGACTTCTGAACTTATTTTGCCTCCCTTTCCTCTGAGCGCCACTAGATAGAAGACGACTTCTGAACTTATTTTGCCTCCCTTTCCTCTGAGCGCCAGGCCCACTCCCATCCCCTTTTGCCACCCCAGCATCATCAGAAGGTCATAAAATCCTTTGACAGCAGGCACACCCTGATGACAGTCCCTTGTCGGTTCCATTGGGTTTAGTTTGAAAGAAACGACTTGAGAATCCTCCATAACTGGACACCCTGCTAGACACTGGAGATGCAGTGTTGAATGACTGAGCCCCTCTCTCCACAGAGCTCAAAGTCTAGAATTTTCTGTGATGATGGAAATGCCCCCATCTGTGCTGTCCAAAAGAGTAGCTGCTAACCACGCATCACTACTGAGAATTTGCAATGCAACAAATGCAAATGAGGAACTGAATTTGTATTTTTATTTATTTTTAAATAAATTTAAATAGCTCCATGCAGTCACTTCCTAAGCCACATGAAGCTCATGCCTATCACACTGGAGGGAATAATAAGAAAACAAATGCAGTGTGGCAGGAAGGAATTCAGTGATGGGGAAGAACCAATGGGAGAGAAGACTTTAGGAGACTACTGAGCATTTGCAGTGTGACAAATGCAAACGAGGAACTGAATTTGTATTTCAAGACTGGACTGCGTCTTTTTTTTTTATTGATCTTTTTCTGCTTCTTTTTTTTAACTTTTAAATTTTTTTACTTTAAAGATGTGGGGTACAATTCAGGGTTAGACATACAAATGTTCATTATGCAGGCACCCTTGTTGATGAGGTATGCCCCTCCCCTTCCCCAAGTAGATTCCCACTACTGCCAATCCTGCTTCCCCACTCCCTTCCCTGCAGTTTCCCACTACTGCCAATCCTTTTCTTATAGCATTACAATAGTTTTCAAGGTCTGCTTATGAGTGAGAACAAGTGATATTCAGTTCTTTGATTCTGTGGAAGATCTCTCAGTATTATAGACTCTAAGCTAGACTGCATCTTAGGATAGGGGGAGGATCTCACCAGGTGAGCAGAGGAAGCTAATATGATAGTGTGAGTCCATCCAAGAGGACAAACTCCAAGCTGCACAGTACGACGGCAAGTAGGAAGTGGTCCCACAGGCAGGCAAGGCAGCTGGAGGGAAGGGGAACTCCTGTTGTCCTCCTAAGGAATTTGGACTTCAAACTGGTGCTAATGAGAAGTTCAGTCAGCTTTTAGGGAAATGTGTTTTGGCAGAATCACTTTGCTGTGGGATGGATGACGGGCTGAGAAAAACATGGATTCAGTAGCATACATTTTAAAATATAGCTATGTTATTATATTTTAGGCTTAGGAGCACTTTCAATTAAGTTGAAGATGTAGTTAATGTATCCCAATAGGATAAGTAGTAAAGATATTCCATTAGCTTTGTAACAAACAATTCATTTCAGTGTGGTCTTTAAACTCTTTCTGAGAACTTCTGAAGCACTTTAGAAGGACAGTACTAACATTTTTAATATCAAATCTTAAAACAGTCATGTTTACCAATTAAAGAAGGATCCCTAAAAACCAATCCCAGGCCTGGCTGCTGCTCTGTTTCCTTTCAAGCCTTGAATTCTATGTATCTTTAAGATCTATAATTCGGATATCTTATTAATTCAGACTTACCTTTTCCCTAAATCGGTTGCATAAGACCATGTTTACATTGATTGGCTTCTTCCAACATATTTGCTTTAGAAAATTGATAGTGCATGGCATGTGGCCAAATATTTCACTCTTCATGGAGAAGTATCAGACAGACCTAGTTGAAACAGAACCCCAGCAGCTACCAAAGTGTCATGAATGACAGCTTGTCAATCTTGTATTTGGGAGCAGCTTGAAAAGCTGAGCGAGCTGACACTTAGAACATGCTGCCTGAAAGGACATAACATGGAATCAATATAGCCAATGAGCAGCCATTTAACATTGCTTAGCTTTGTCGTGTTTCTCTAGCAGTTCACTTTACCCACTAGCCAAGGACAGAATCGATTTCTCAGAGGTAGCTATTGATAGTTGCTTTACAACTCCCTCTCCAGCTTGTTTTGTAAATGAGTTAACTTAATCAGCTCTTCATGATACAGGCCCCATCAACATGGCAGCAATCATGTGACTAACCCACCCATTGGCATCTGCCTGCCATCCATTACCTGATGTCCCTACTTGCACTTACTTTCCCCTCCAGAGCAACATCCAATCACCTTGACAAGCTTCCCCCATCAAAGGGAAAGTTTAAAAGGATTCAACTCCAAGTGGCCAGTCATCATCATTGCTTTGTTAAACTCTGGTGTGTCCACATGGCTCCTTGAGCTACTGCCGTTATGTTTCTTGGCTTTGGCCCCCTCCCCTAATTTGAGGAGCGAAATCTCCCCCCCCCGTTTATTTTCTAAATAAACTATATTTTCTAATCTAACTTCTATGCAATTCTTTGCATCTTTCACGTGACATCCATTGCAATCACAACCCACCCCAGCAGGTCTGACCTGACATTTTGGAGGCCCTGCTGGGATATATTTTTAACCTAACACTGGCTTTCAGACAGTGCTTGTCTTTGAATCAAGGGAATTACAAGCCAGGATTTTGAATGTGCTTGTAAAAAAAAAAATTGTTTTTAAGAAAGGGAAGGGGTTCAACCTTCAAGTTATTTCATTTGTTTTATTTTACAGGCACTACAGTGAGCACAAAGGACCAAAGTTCTGTAGACATCAAACAGCATTTACTAAGCTTATTTGGGCATATGATCTCTAACTTTGATATCTAATTTGAAGTCAAAGTTTTCAACCAACTTACCGAGAAGGCCCAGATCCTTTCTCTGCAAACTTGCATTGTTATTTTCTTACACATACAGCCAAGGTTTTTTTTTTTAATGTTGTTTTCTAATCCCTAAATGAGCGGGAACAATGGCAATGGAAAACTGTGAGAGCAGCACAAGAGTGATACAGCTTTCCTGATGATGACTCTAACAGCCCAACGAGAAGCAGCTGAAGGCAGCAGCTTCTGCATCCTTCAGTAAACCCCAAGACCAGTCCACATGCTGAAGGTCCACTCAGGTAGCCTTCCATGGGTTAGGGTTTCTGCTCAACCAGTCACTTTCTCATACCTAGTACATCTTCCTGCTTCCTTTGCTTGGCATATAGTAGGTGCACTGGAAATATTTACTGATATTCCTGACTCACCAGCTTGACTTGCCAACATATGCCTTGAAATACTTGAACCAGAGGAGGACTGAACTGACCCCGAGTCCTGCCTGGGCCTCCCTGAGGCTTCCCTGGAGGGTTGGTTAAAGTGCAGATTGCTGGGCTCTGATTTAATAGGTCCTGGGTAAGGCCTGAGAATTTGCACGTCCTATAAGTTTAAGGTAGCACTGAGGATGCTGGTTCAGAGACCCCACTTTGGGGAATAAGACACTAAATTGAACAATCTGTGTCCCCCTTCTGCCCTTATCTACCTCCTGTTAGTTCTCTGCTCACATGTGCATCTCCACCTACAGTTTCTGGCTGGTATCCTGGGAAAGAAGCAAGGCTTTGTTTGGGGAGCAGACAACCAGCATTGGAGGGACTTCCCCAGAGAGACCCCAGCTAAGTCTCAAGGAGTGAGTGGGCGTCAGGGGTCAATGGTAGGCAAAGGCACTGCAGGGACAGTCACTGTTACTACTTGTTAAATATAGGGGAGCCAGGGCTTCTTCTAGGGCTTTAGGTCTAATCAGGAGAGGGATGTGGTCAGACTCCTGTGTTGGAAAGACCGCCAGGACTAGAAGGCAGCTGTCTGAGGGCATGGTGTGGAGAAGGAGAGAGAGGGCAGGAGAGAAGGAATGATAGCTGGAACTCATGTGAATTTCAGCAGCTGGAATCATGGAGTGCAATGAAGACACAGTTTGCCCCTCTATCTATAACCGACTCCCTCTGCCCCCACTCCAGTATCCAGCACAGAGTCTTCCAGGATGGGAGTGAAGGACACGTGTATCACCAAGGAGGACAGATTCGCTGTCCCAGGCCCTCCTTTCCCCTCTTTCTTCTCAGTTACAGATCATTCTGGGTAGAGACAGTGTAACATGCCATAGTACAGGGACACTATGCAATGGTAAGACGTCCCCTTGCCAAGCTGGCTGCCAGTCCCACTCAGCCAGGTGAGCAAGCCTGTCTTTTCCTAAGTCACACAAAGATGCTCCGGGAGTCTGGATTCCCTGACAACTCCACCCGACCCTCAGGCCTCATCTGCCAGAGGAGGCAACAAAGGTCCCCGGTGTCCATTAGAATAATCTGTAGGGCTTTATAAAAATTCTGATACCCAGGGATTTGGCAAAATTTCGTTATGTTCAGTAGATCATAGTATTGAATCAATGTTTAGTTTCTGATTTTGAGTATGTTACTGTAGGTTGCATATGAGAAGTTTTTAGTTTTCATTTTTTAAGATAAAGACATTGGCCAGGTGTGGTAGCTCAAGCTTGTAATCCCTGCGCTTTAGAAGGCTAAGGTGAGGAGATTGCCTAAGCCCATGGGTTCGAGAACAGCCTGGGTAACTTGGTGAGACCTCAACTCTATGATAATTTTTTTTAAAATACCTAGGCATGGTAGCACACACCTTTATTTCTGGCTACTTGAAAGGCTGAGGCGGAAGGGTCACCTGAGTCCAGCAGGTGGACGCTGGGGTAGCCGTGAGTGTGCTACTGCACTCCAGCCTGGGCGACGGAATGAGACTCCAACTCAAAAAAGAAAAAAAGAAAAAACACATTATTTAGAAGTAAAGGACCAGACTGTCTGCAACTTAAATATTTCAGATGTTTCAGGGAACAAGAATGATGTAACAAGTGTGGTAAAATTTAACATCTAGGGAATCCGGGTTAAGGTAATGGGAGTTTTGTACCATTTTTTGCAATAACTCTTCTCTAAACCTAAAATGATTTCAAAATATAAAACTTTTTTCTTCTTTGAGATGGTCTTGCTCTGTCACCCAGACTAGAGTGCATTTGTGCAATCATAGCTCACTGCAGCCTCATACTCCTGGGCTCAAGAGCTCCTCCTGCCTCCTAACCTCCCAGGGTCGCTCTCCCAGGTAGCTAACTACAGATGCTTGCCTGGCTAGTTTTTTGTGTTTGCTTTTGTTTTTGTTTGAGATGAAGTCTCGTTATTTTACCCATGCTGGTCTCAAACTCCTGACTTCAAGCAATCCTCCTCATCTCAACATCCCAATGCTCCCTAAGCACTGGGATTACAGGCAAGAGCCACCATGCCCGGGCATACGAAACTTTTTTTTTTTTTTTAAGAAAGCAGGATTTATTGAGAAAACAGAAAAGCTCCCACAGTGGGAGGGGACCTAAGGGTATTGTCCTAAAACTTTTTTCAAAGAAAAAAATCCTCCAGATCAACTGAATCAAAAACTCTAGAAACACAATAAGCACATGAAAAGATGCTCAACATCATTATTCATCTGCAAGTTAAGAAATCCAAACCACAGTGAGATACCATTCAAATGTACTAGGGAAGCCAGAATCAAAATTTTAGTCAGATGATAAAAAGTGTTAGGCCTGGCTCAGTGGCTCAGCCTGTAATCCCAGTACTTTGGGGGGCCAAGGTGAGTAGATTGCCTGAGCCTGCGGGTTCAAGACCAGCCCGGGCAACTTGGCGAGACCTCGTCTCTACAATAAAAAATTAAAAAATTAGCTGGGCATGGTAGTGCGTGCCTGTAGTTCCAGCTACTTGGAAGGCTGAGGCAGAAGGATCGCCAGAGCCCAGCAGGTCAAAGCTGGGGTGGCCATGAGCCACGTAGCATTGAAGTCACACATTTTTATCTCAACTTTAATTTACTTTCTTCCCTTAAACTTGATTCCATTTTTGATGTGACTTTCAGCTGTCAGATGTCTGCACTCCCAGACGGGGTGATGGCCTGGCACCAGCAGAGCATTATCCTTGATGAGTCACAACTGAGGTACTTTTCCACTGGGCCAGTCGCCAACAGTCCCTCCTCCATTCTTCTGAGAGTCCTGTCACCTTGCCTTGTAGACATTTATATCCCTCTCTCCCACTGGCCTCCACTTTTTGTGGGCCGTTTCTGGATAGTCAAGACTCACCCAGTGCCTGCCTCCCAGTTCATTATCTCTTCCTTTAAAAGGCATAATCGCCACTTTGAGAAATGAGACCTGAAAGCCCAGTCTCTGCATGTGCGTCTGCTGTCTTCTCATGAAGACCTGCAGCTTGAAAGGAGGGGAGGGAGAAATAGCCCCATGCTTCAGGAAGACCATGCCCAGTCACTGTGATGATTCCGAGAGATTCAGGAAATCCTTGCTAATGGCCAAACTTCCCCGGTTTGAGACTCAAAAGGAAATCAGATTCCCAGTGTTGTGCATTTACAAGCAAGAAATGCAGGATATAAAACTGTGCAGACTGTTGCTCATAATTGTTTAAGAAAATGATACTCAGACACTAACCTGGAAGGAACTGAGCCCCAATGTTAACTGCAGTTAATTATGGGGTCAGGGGTGATGGTTGAGATTTTCTGCTTTTCATTGTCTGCATTAACCATTAATACTGGGGGAGATGATCAGTTAAAAACCAAAGGTAGAAAGCGTAAAGCAAACCAATGCCTTTTCCATCTGTGATTACATAGCTTTAGCCTGGGATCGCTCTCCTTGAAGCAGGGGTGCCTTCTCTCCAACCTCCTTCCTGGGGTCACTCCTTGTTCCTCCTGAACTTCAAATTCAACCTCTCCCACCTCTGAGCTCTGGGCTGTTCCCATTCCCTATCAGTTTCATCCACAGCCTCCTTCCGAGTATCAGCTGCATGGCTGGGTGAGTCCCAAATGCTTAGCACCAAATGATTACAAAGAGCTTGCTTCAAATCTAAATTTTTTGACATTTTAAAAAGAGTGCTTTTCCACGCTGTCTAATCCCCCCAGTACATCTATATGACTTTAAAAAGAACCCTTGAGCCGGCTCGGTGGCGCAGCCTGTAATCCCATGCCTTTGGGAGGCTGAGGTGAGTGGATTGCCTGAGCCCGCGGGTTCGAGACCCGCCTGGGCAGTGAGACCTCATCTCTACAATAAATCAAAAAATCAGCCGGGCATGGTAGCGCGCGCCTGTAATTCCGGCTACTCGGAAGGCTGAGGCGGAAGGATCGCCGGAGCCCAGCAGGTCGAGGCTGCGGTGACCGGGAACGGCCACTGCACTCCAGTCTGGGCGACCGAGTGAGACTCCAACTCAAAAAAAAAAAAAAGAGCCCTTGAGTCTGTAGAAAAGCTCCTTCAGTATCTAGACATGGCTTAATCATTCCCTTTCTCTTCTCCTAATTCCACGATTCCCATCCTCACAGTCAGTGCTTCTGTTTCCTGTCACAAGGACACAGCCTTGCAAACTCTCTATAGAGGTGGCAACTCCAAGAATTCCTTTAAAGATGTTGTTAGACGGTCATAACATGAGTTGACACTAATGAGGACAGTTTGGTATTGGCGCATGGATAAACAAATAGATGGATGAATAGAAGTAAGCCCAAACCCAACTCACACTTACCTCTAGTCACGTGGTTGACAGGCAAACCTGCAGTTCAACAGGGAAAGGATGATCTGTTCCATAAATGGTGCTGGATCAGTTGGCTATTCACGTGGAGAAAAAAAACAAACTTTGGTCCCATACACACACAAGACATAAAAGTTAATTCCATGTGGACCATAGACCTAAATTGGAAAAGCAAAAGCAATAAAAGGGTCAGGAAAAAAAGGGTCCAGACAGGAAAATATTTTTATGACCTTGGCATAGGCAAGAAATTCATAAACAGGACACAAAAACCACTACCCACCCCCCAAAAAGGATTGCTAAATATGACAATTAAAATGAAGTATTTGTGTTCATCAAAAATTGAAAGGTTAAGCCATCAACTTGGAGAAGATATTTACAATAATTGTGTTTAGCTAAGAGTTTATACTCAGAATATATGACTCAAAAATAAAAAGGCAAACAATCCAGTAAGAAAAAAATACAAGCAAAAGACTTCACAAAAGAATATCTATACATGACCAATGACATCAGGAAAATACAGATTAAAACAACAGTGAGACACATCCACAAGTCTGGCTAAAATGAAAAACACCAAACCCTAAGGCTGGTAGAATTCTGAGGTGATCTCCAAGATTTGCAGCCCGGAGTCCACGCCTTATATAATCCCCTTGAGTGTGTGCAGGACCTGTGGCTATGACAGATGTCACTTCTGCGATCAGATTACGTATACCAAAGATGGGGAGAGTTTTGTAATTAAGATCTCTAATCAGCTAAACTGAGTTCATCAAAAGGGAGAATACTCAGTGTTGGCCTGACCTAGTCAGGTAAGCCCTTTAGAAGACAGCTCAGTCCTGCCCTAAGCTTAGAGAGATTTTCCTGCTGGCCTTGAAGAAGCAGGCTGCCAGGAATTCAGCAGATGCACAGAAATGAATTTGGCCAACAGTCATGGAAGTGCCACCAGAAAAACATCCACAGCCTGCCCATCCCTCATACCCCTCACATCTATCTATAGATCATCTGTGCATGACGGTAAAGTAAGAAGTAGATTCTCAGCCCTTGAGGACAGACCTTGTCTGTAAGTCTGTTTTACTGCCTCACCCAGCACCTTGCACAGGGCCTGACACGTTACAAGAACTCAGCCCCTTTCAAATTAATTTACTGAGACATGCACCTTGGAACTGGAATGTAAAACCAATGGCTCTAAATTCAGCAAAAGGGTTTACTGACATCCTGTACTTTTATTACCTGTTTCGACACATGGAAGGATTCTCCAGTGAAATGCAGGATTTGTGAATTAACAATTTCTTCTGACTTGCCTCACTCCTGTAATTTCAGTACTTTGGGAGGCCGAAGCGAGTGGATTGCCTGAGCCCACAGGTTTGAGACCCTAACTTGGCGAGATTTCATCTCTACAATAAATAAAAAATTTTTTTAAATTAGCTGACTGTTGTAGCACACGCCTGTAGTTCCGGCTACTTGGAAGGCTGAGGCGAAAGGATCGCTGGAGCCCAGCAGGTCGATGCTGGGGTGACCGTGAGTGTGCCACAGCACTCCAGCCTGGGCAAC